GAGTAGATTTGAGATTGACATTAGTTTCCAAATCATATCTCAGGTTTTCTAAGTGTAAAGCAGGGGAAAAAGAAGAGGAATAAAGAAAAAAGTGAACTTTACATAAATTTTATATTTATAGCCATATGTGAATCTAAGAGAAACCTTTCGCTTTTTCTAGTGTACAGAGTACTTGCTCAAGTAGTATTTCTTACTGAGTTAAAGGTATTAACCCAAACACCCTAATTCCTTTGTTTCATTTTGGTAACATTTGTCATTCTTCAAACGATTCTTTTCATTTTTTTTTCTCTTTAAGTCCTTATAAGGTCTTGTGTAGGGTATTGTTTGGGACAAATGGAAAAAGAGTATACTCAAATGAACATTCACCCAACAACCAAATTATGCTGAAAACCACTGCTTTTTTATGAAAGTGTGTGTTTTATGCATGTTCTCCAGCCATATGGTTAGAACTGATGTTTCTTACAACTTCAGGCACGTGGGAAATTTTAAGCATAGATGTGACAGAAATGACATAGCTAGTTGATTATGTAACATGCTGGAAAATCTATCCAGAAATCGAGTCTTAAGAACATTGCTTTTTGTTTTTTACAGATGTTCTTCAACTCAAGGAACAGGCATACACTGCAGAGTTAGGTACACAGTGCTTTAAGTTTTCTACAGCTAGCAATTAAATAGGATGCACTCAGCAGTGGGAACAGTTCAAAGACTGCCTTTTCTCCTTTCTGCTACTGCCACTGAGCAAATCATCTGACTTGCAGTGTTTTAGTTCCCTCTTTGAAATCAGAGAGATTATTAAGCCCTGTCTGAGGTCTTACAGTTTTTCTCTGGCTAAGGTGATACTACCTTTAGTTCCTGCTTTCCCAGTTAAAAACTCATTAAGAGTTTTTCCCATATCTTCTCTTCTAGGCCTGAACACTGCACCAGACCCACTCATTTATAAATGAGGGCCCTGTTTCCAGCAGCTCCAGGAGGACACCAGTCATGTAGGGTCTTAGAGGGGTTTATTCTTGCACTGCCCTTCACATCAGTGACTGAATCTGTGGTAGGGAGGGATGGTTTTACAAGACCATTTTTATAATTCATTCTTTACAAAATGGCTTGTTAAAGTAAGGTTAATGCAGTCTAAATGAATTTCTGTGCATCCTAGGAAAAATTACTTTCTTCACTGACATCTTTGAATAAATTACAAAGTACCTGGTTTGCCAAAGCAGTTGTCAAGACTCAGAGTCGCTTTCAAAAGTTCTTAGAGCTGAATTAAGGGGCAAACTGCAGGTAAGAACTGTCCCTTGCTTCAGAAAGGTAAAATCAATTTCATTTCTTGATGAAATCCTTGAGGTTTGGAGAAGGGAAACTTCATTTAACAGGGGATTACAGTCCCAAGCAAAGCCTTCAGCTCTAACATGTTACAGAAATTGAGTATTTTATTTAATTGACTATGAATATCATATTCTGATACAGCAAATAGGAAAAGAGTCATCTTCCTTAGGATTATAAAAAGAGTTTTGCAGAAATTCTGACAGGCTTCTTTAAGAAAACTTCAGGTCTCTTGATAGTCTTTTGAAAAACTTTATAAATATTCTTTAGTGGCTATTAAAGATCATTGTTAGTTTAATTGCAGCAACAGAATGGCTGTAATTTGCAGAGGGCTCTAACCATACACTTAGTGAGAAAAGTGCGAGCCTTTCTTGATGTTCCCAGAATACCTTGTGGGGATATCAATTCCTAACCTACAGATTTGCTGTGAATGACTTAAGTCTTTGGAACAAATAAGCCTTTCTGTATTGTAATCTAGCTCCCATTCAGCTCTCCTCCATCGTGCCTTTTAAGAACTGCCCATTTCGTAGATGAGGAAAGTGAAGGCCCCTAACATGGTCAGATCGCTTTCATCTTAAAACATTCTGCCCAGATCGTAGGTCTTCTTCCAGTACCATTCTATCCAAATATGTGGCATTTGATGTTTTTGAAAACCCTCTTAAAATGCTTCCCCTTGCTTATCATTCATTTCTCCCTGTCCTTCAGTGGGACAGTTCTTTTGAAGCCACCTTCTAGACCATTCTGCAGATCTGCAGTTTCAGTTCCAATTTAATCATCTCTGCTGAACAGACATCTTGTGCTGCCAGTCACAATTCTATGAAAACCCCAGGGATTTTGTTTGCTCATATTTTCAAAGTGATGTAACCTTGCATTCCTGTTGGTGGTTCCAGCCTCTGGGCAAGGTTCTGCCCGTGACAGAGAAGTAGCTATAGAAGTCTGCTTCTCAGCATAGTGTGGGTGAGACAGCAGACTTGCTCATCATATCCTGTGAGACAAGCCGTGGCCCTTGCTGCTGGATTCTCTCTGCCAGTAGTCTAGCAGGTTGCTTGGGTTGTGGTATTAGTGGCCTAAGGACTTCTGTAGCTTGCCTCTTTGCTCCAGATGCCCTGCTTTTTTGAACTGGGACTCCTCACTCTGATAGCAGAGGCCCTCTTAGGAAATGGCAAATCATGCTGATTACTGTAAATTTTGTTTATGAAGTTCTTTACCTACACTGTGTTATAACAAGGAGTTGGTGAGACAACAGTTAGAACCCATAGGAGGAGGTGATGATTTTAGAAAGAGACTTGAGGCTTATGTACATTTGCTACCCTTTACATTCTTTTATTGTGACCAAGGCAAAATTGCCCTTCCAGAGTTCTATCTGAAATCTTCTCTTCCATAACTTCTTGTTGATTTTAAGATTATTTGAAATAGTTGCTTCTCCTAAAGTTTGTATGTATGTATTTCATTCATAAAAAATTATGGAGGAGAGCTTTTATTATTTATTCTTTAATACATTTTGGGGGTGTACATGGATTACAGCAGCTTTTGATCAAAGCCCTTACCTTCTATGCTCGTGTTTGCTCAATATCCTTTGGGGAATTCAAAAGGTCTTACCAATGAGACAAAGTCTGTGGCCCAGGGAACAAATAATGTAACTAGAAAAGCATTCGCCATTGTTGTTTAATGCACAGAACAGTTCTTCTGAGCCCCTTTGTCAAATATTAGTTAAATTCTCACCTATAAATAGTTCTCCAGTGATTGGTTAAAAGCCCAGCCCTCTGCTATATAAACATATTAAGTCTTTCTGCCTCTGTATATTGTACTGTTATCATTGTAGATGTCATTGGAGATACCAGAGGAAATAAAACAGCACAAAAATATTTCCTCAACTGTCCACATGCATTCTAACGAGCAGAGAAGCATCATACCCTTTCAGTGGCTCTGCATTCTTACACTGTTGTTAATTTCCTGAAAACTAAATGTTAGATGAAGTATAATTGCAGATTTCCTTAAGAACCATTGACAGATACTTATCTTAAGTTATAAGCAACTCACACTGTGAACTGTGTGCAAACATTCCAAGTTTTCTTCCAAAAGAATATACTTCAGTGAGGGCCAGGGGTTTAGCTCAGTGGTGCCGCCACACCTGTCTCCCAAGCGCAAGGACCTGAATTTGATCCCTGGCACAAAAAAAAAGAATAAATAAATAAATAAATAAATATTAAAAAATACATACTTCAGTGAAACCTAATATCCACTGATCTATTTTTGATAAACAGAGCCATGGAAGCTCATTGTAGAAGTTGAAGAACTTTCTTTTGGGGCTGTTTGATTTTCTAGTGTTAGAGGATCTTTCACTGGTTTTCTGGGTCTTAAGTCCTGTAAGTACCATCTCAGAGACCTCACAACCTCTGGCTAAGCAGGCTACTTTTTGAATGAGATGGTAAACTAGATGGCAGATTATGGTGTATTTAGGTATTGGCATTGAACAATGAAGAGGGGAGTTAGATTTCTTTTTTAATTGCTAGGTGGTCCATTTAGTGCAGCTGTGTTTATGTTTCTGAAATGATAACTGCCTGATCGTAGTGACAAGCCCCTACAAACAAGAATAGAAATTTCTTCTTGAGAAATCATCTTGCTGGTATACTTCAATTCAAGGGGTCATATTTATCAAGCAGCAATGGCAAAAATAATTCCAGGAACCATGATTCAATACAGCTGGTTTGCTAGATGAGACGTTTTTGACAATCTTTTTAAAAAAGTAATTGATACTTTAAATGCTGTATTTCACAGTGCGAAAAACTTGGAAATAGTGGGTTTTTGGTGTGCTCTTTTGTTTTGAGTTGTTTTTGGATAGTCCCATTTCTTTAACCATTGTTTGGCTGATTCAACTTCTTGGTTATTAAAAATACTTGCTTAGATCGTAAGTGTAGATCAAACAGTTCATATTGTTTTTGTCCTTCTCTTTAAAAGAAAATAATTAGGGCCAGGGATTTAGCTCAGTGGTACTGAGCCTTCCTCACAAACACAAGGTCCTGAGTTCGATCCCTGATACCATAAATAAATAAATAAATGAATGAATAAATAAATAAATAATTTAAGTGATTATAGCATCAGGACTCCAGCAAAGAGACAGTTGCCTGTGACTGACAAAAATGTATATACTCAGTAAATAGCTGTGTGAATTACTAATTTCAGAACCATATGCAACATGCAAAATATTGAGATGCAAGGGCCTAATGACTAGCTTTTTTCTTTAGTGTTACATCCCTCATAACTCAAATTAATGTTTAATACTGTTTCATATTGCCAAAATATTTTCATGAATTTGAATTAGAAGCAGCTTGTTCTGGCTTGTTTTGCAACTTTGTTTCAAGAAACAAAGTGATATTTAGAAGATTTTGGTATGTCTTAGAAGCTTTAATTATCTTACTTATGTTGAAGGAAGAAATACAATCAAGTTCTGATTCATAGTTATGTAAGAAAAGAAGAGTTCATACTATGCTAATTTTATATATCACCAGCATAGTTAATGAAGAAATTTGAATTGGTCATTTGAACAGCGTTAGCTTTGAATAATTAGCTGTCTACGCTTTAAACTCCAGAGGACCTGAGTGGGTCCTGTTTGGGCTGGTATTTATTTTTGGAGTCTCAGGTACTTGTCCTTATCTTTCCATTTTTTGTCTCCCTTCTCTCTACAGATTGGTGAAAAACAAAAAGTGTTAGTAACAGAAGAATCTTTTGATTCCAAGTTTTATGTTGCACACAATCGATTTTATGAGCAGGTAAGAAACACACCAGTATTCTTGAATTTTCTCCAAAATAAGGAAGAATTCAGAGTGTAAACAAAGAAGATTTTAAGGGGAAAGTGTTGAACCCTGTCACAGGGTGGCTATTCTATAGCATCGAGCCAGCCAGGCTAACATGGGGCTTATCTCTGTTGCTTATTCTGTAGAGCATTCTCTACAAAGACGTAAGTGTAGTTAATGTGTTTTAGTGCACAGTAATCTTTGATCAGCCAACCCTAGGCTTTTCGGAGTTTGGAACGTTCCCACAACTGGAGAAGTGGGGGCAAAGTCCTGTTCGGAAGGCAGGAAGGATGTCTGCATGGGCCACATCAGTGCAGAAGGGCAGGGATTTCCTCTGGCTGTCACATCACTCTGTGATTTCTTTGTTTTGGTCCATTGGTTGGTTTTTCAGTTTTAGTTTTTTTTTTTTTTTTTTTTAACTTCTACCTTGACTAAAATATCAAGAGATATTTGAGAAGCTAGGGGAAGAGGGAAAAGAGTACTCCTTGGACTCAACTCAAACTGTGTGAACAGCTCTGGAGTCCAGCATGAGGATGGAAGCAGGTTCCCTTAGCAGTTCTGAGGCCACCCTCTTAGGTGTGGGAGACCCCACAGGGGCATGGGGCTGTGTGAATCATTCTGGGTCGCATTTACTTGTCTTAATGCCAGATGGGTTTTCCCACTTTCCAATCCTTTCTCATCAAAGCAGAGATCTTTCCCTGATTCATGGCCAGAACTGGAGAGTAGGGACTGTTGAAGTCAGCAGGGGCATGTCACACGTGGGTGTGTCACGGGGAATGGGAAAGGGAAGCCACTGCCTAAATTAACAGGATGGCAGTGGCTGAGGAGGTCATGGCACTGGTGTCCACCTGAAATAATCTCAGACTGGATTGTGGGTCCTTAGACAATATGGGGAGGGACACACTAAACTCCCTTTGTGCAGCAGCAGTAGAGTCTGCAGTGAAGAGAGGATTCCCAGCACTCCATCTTGCAGCCAAGCCCCTTCCCCATTCCAGGCTCATTACTGTGTCTGGATAGCAGGGTCCCCATCAGGCAGCCTTTTGCCCTGCCTGGGGAGGGAGGAGTGGGATTGTACTTGGGTTGCCTCATTGTCCCTGTCTTTCTCGCCATCTGGGTTTGTGCCACAGCGGGAAACATTTTTCTCTTCATTTTAAAGGCAATGGCAAGCCTTATTAGCTGTTTCCTCCCATTTAAAGCAGTTGGGCCTTTTCCAATTATTAAAATCCGAGGAGAAAAAAAATGCTGAGCCCTTCATTCAAATCTAGGAGGGTTATTTTCCCCCAGAATAGTACCGAATCTCCCAGGGATAGTTGCTCTACAGATTTTCTTATTTTAGAAAAACTGATTCAGAGAGACTCATAATCCTGATACCAAAGCTCTTTTAGTTTGTTTGCTTGCCATAAGTAATTTTCTGCCCAGGTGACCTTTCTCCTACACTTTGATGAAGTGTACCCAGTGGTCATAAAAATCAAACTCAGTGCAAGATCCAGTTTGACTTTTCAGAGAAATTAGCCGTGGAACTTCCGGCTCTCATCAGCTATTTTATCTGCATAACTAAGCCTATGTACGATGTCATTAGCATTGTTTCTAAATATGATGAGTTCCAGAGGTGTAGATTATATCTAAATATCAAAGTATTGCAGGATTAAATTAGTCTTTATTTTGGACCCTAATTTGAAAAGATTGGCAAGGAGATACAGTACTAAAATAGAAGTGTAAGGGAAACTTAACGAGTACAAACTACCTATTAGTCCCAGAGAAGGACAAACACTTGCTCAAGGTAAACAACGACTTCTATCAGTAATCTCTAGTGGAACGAGACCATCTGATAGTTTCCTGTGAACCAGCCAAAGTTCCCTCCAGGTAGCTAGTTCTACAAGGAGGCAGGGGCCCAGGACTGACATACACAAGCTTCTTCTAAGTGAGCCAAATAAATGAGTGGCAGCCATTAGCCAGGAGTCATGTAGTGCTAAACACCAATGCATTGTGTTTTTGAAAGGTTTCCTTTATATATTTTCTCTTCCCCTGTGCACACGCGCACTGTGCATATGCAGGCTTCATTTGAAGTGTCTTCTCAAACCATTATAGCCAGGGATTTAGCTCAGCGGTTCGGTGGCCTGCCTTGCAAACGCAAGGACCTGAGTTCAATCCCCAGTACCAAAAACAAGCAAACAAACAATCAAACTATTACAACAACAGCTAAGTTGTAAGGTATTAAAAGTACAAGGCTTTCATGAATCCTATCTCCATTTTCTCCATTGCATGAGAGAGCCATGAGCAGAATATCAAAGGCCGGTTCACAAGAGGCTGGCTGACTGCAGGGGACTTCCCAGCATCTGGCAGTGGGAGAGTTCTATCCAGAGCCTGGGGCTCCTCCCAGAAGTGCCTTCCCATCCTACAGGATCTCAGGATCCTTAAACCTCTAGAAAGTAGAGCCCACTTTACTTGGGATCTCAAAGTAGAGAAAATACCTTTAAAGGGCAAACTGAGAAATCAGAATCAAGTATAGACTTCAGTTAATAGTAATATTTCAGTTTTGGTTTATACAGTGTGACAAGTGTACCATGGAGATGTAAGATATTAATAATAAGGGGGAATTGGGTGTGAGGCATACAACTCTCTGTACGACCCTTGTCATGATTCTATAAATCAAAAATTATTCTTAAAGTTTGTTTTAAGAAATTAAGATTTCTGAATTTTTTTAAGGTTTTAGTGCCAAAGAACCCTTCATTCATGGGGAAAATGGTCGAGGTGGACATTTATGAATCAGGAAAACATTTTATGAAAGGGCTGCCAGTATCGGACGCCAAAGTACACACGCCTTCCATCAGCAAACCATTAGCAAAGGGAGAAGTCTCAGGTTTAACAAAGGTAAGTGAAAGATGCTTTCTTTTCTACCCTGGCAGTAAAATAGCGGCTGTAGAAGCACAAGGATTCCAGACCATACTTTAGTTATCATTTATGGTTCCCTTTTTATGTATGCACGAGGCTTTAATCCTTTCTGACAGATTGAAATCTGAATCAAAATGATGCATTTTTTTGCTGATGCCTATAGCTTTGCTCCTCTGCATGAAAAGGAAATAAGCTGTTTCTGCCTCCAAGCTAGATGCAAAGGATAAAAGCCATTATATTCAGGTAAAAGATTTAACTGAAGATGATCTGATCCAGTATGTGTCTGTATCCATAGATGCTGAGTGTAAGGGGACAAGGAAAAGAATGTTTTCTTGCCTGCAAAGCTGTTTATAATGTAGTAAAACCTTATAGCTGAACAGGCACTAAACCATGTCATATATGCGGTTATGGTCCCTTTCACTAGGGTGTTAGCTGGATATCTGCTTTAGTTGTGTGGAGTGAAAATTAAACATTTTTTCTTTCTATAAAAAAGTAACCTGACCCCTATTTTATACCTTGGTAAATATGGCTGTTTGCCAAGCTCTCTCTTACATTTCATTGAGCTACAGTTGTAAAACTTGATGGAGTGTGAAATGAAAATGTGTATCACATTTCTAAGCATCATTTGATGTCCTTTCTCCAACACAATTGTTAAGCGCTCCAAAAAAAGTATATAGCAATGACTTAACGTAGAGAAAAGAGATAACTGATATTCATCTGGCCATGTAATTCCAAAATTGTTTTGATCTGTGTATAGCTTTTTCCTCAGATGAATTACAAGGGCATGTTGATTAAAATAAAGGAACTCTGGCTTTACTTTGGGAGTAGTGACCAAGAGAGTCCTGTTTATCTGAGCCCCTGTTGACTGTAGCGCTCTGCTTCTCTCTGTGCAGCAGGAGTGGCCCCTGTCCTGAGCCTGACACTGCATGTGAAGGGTGTGACCCATAGTGGAAGGGCATGGATTAGCTTTTATCAAAACCTTGAGGAGAGTGTCATCCTGCTAAATTGCGAAAAGCATACCCGTTAATGTTTGCCCTTTAAAAAAGAAAAGTCTTATCTCGAGATTGGGATGGATGGCTGGAGAGAACAGTAATCTAGCAATTAAGTTATATTACTAGAAATTTGGGTTTTGATATATTAGCTAACATTTTTAAATTTTTTTCAAGGAAGATCGTTGATTTTTTAAATTTGTTTTCTACATGAATTTTTTTTACCTGGGTGATTTTTAAATTGTCAAGGTGAAAAGGATTTCACATCAAATGACAAATTGTTATTTCAAAGATCCTGCCTTCATAGGCACCTATTGAAGAGAACGGTGTTCTAAAACATCACCGTTAATAATGAATAAAGTAGCATCTTTCAACTAGTTCCTTAACTACAGTATTCCTTTCTAAAAGGTCAGCCGCACTTAAGTTCTGTTAGGTAGACTTTTTTGCTCTTCCTTCCCTCATTCCAACCTAGAAAGCAGGGTCGTCAGTTCTACTTCTTTACAATGTGTGTAGTATGGCCCAGGGGTCTTTGGTAAATTGCAGGACGGTCAGGTGACTGCTGGGCCCACTTGGGCTTCTAGAAATAGAAGGTAGCTCTCCCTCATTCGCTTTTCTCTTTTTTTTTTTAAGTACTGGGGATTGAACCCGGGGCTTCAAAAATGCTAGGCAAGTGCTTCACACTGAGCTGCATCCCCAGCCTTTTAAAATTTTTATTTTGAGATAGGATCTCACTAAGTTATCCAGTTTGACCTATGAATTTGTGAACTACCTGGCATACCCTCTCAAGTAGCTGAGATTATAGGCATACACCACCATGCCTGGCTGCTGGAAACAGACTCATAGTATGCATGATGTGAAAGGGTTAGAAACATTGATTTGGAAATGTGTATTCAGGGAAACATCAGGCAAGTCTTTTTACCGCCAATAGTGACTTCCTTTAAAAAGAAGAATGTGGCTTTACTCTTTAGTATTATTTTTCAATTTTTAAAGATATGCCAAATTTAGCAGAATCAAAAGCCCTCATTAGTGAATTTGTCCTATTACACATGAATTTGCTGACAGTAGAACCAAAATGAATGCTTGCTTTGGCAGCACATATACTAGAACCAAAATTAATTGAACAGGAAGAGAAAAACTTGCAGTTGTATAAGGTTTTAAAGTAGATAATGGAGGTGTGATCGAGAGGCTTTGAGCTCTCTGACAGTGGATACAGGTGCTGGGACTCGTGAGTGGAGAAATCAGCCTAACTCCAGTGTAGCAATATAGCCTTGGGGTCAGATAGACCTGGGTGTTATGTGGGTCATTGGTGCTCCCCAGGCACATAACTCCTCAGTGCGTTGTGTCTGTGAACTGGGAATGAGCATGTGTATCTTGCATTGTTGAGAACAGGAACATATTCTGTGATGCCAGTAAACCACCCAGCTTCACTTCTGGAGCACAGTACTTAATGCTGCCTCTCCACCTTGTTGCATCCATAAAGAACCAACTCCAAACACTACCTCAGTACTGACATGTTCTTTTTGTTAATGATTTGAGCCCTTAGATGTTGTTGCATTTGGCGGGGGTGAAGGTGTTTCTCTATTAGGATGATCATTTCTGAGCTAGAGAACCAGTCTCATCAGAATTTATTCATTTATTTATTTTCTAAGTAAGTACACATTTACAGTACATGCAGCTTACTGTCATCCTAGAGTGGGTGCCTGTACATAATATAGCTTGAGCTCTTTTAAAATCTATTTCCTTCCCTCTCCCAATCCCCTTTCCCCATTTTCTTTCTGTCTTGTTGATATTGTCACTCTTCTCTAATGTCTATGACATATTTACATTCATTGATCAGAATTTCAGAGTTTTCTAGGGATTTTCCCAAGTTTTTCTAGAATGCCAACTTCTGTATACATATTTTTACAAAGAAATCTAGAAAGCCCAAAGTATCTAAAGCAAAACACTGTGTTAAAATGTTGTCCTATAATTAGTACGTTTCCTAAGCACTGTCAGGGCATCCTTTGAGTTGTTAGCCCTGTGCTCCGTATTTCCTCCCTGTCCCTTGAGGCCCTGCTGCCTTCTTTCAGTATCACTGGTGAGGGGATAGCAGCCTAGGAAGGGAATCCAAGTTGGGAAAGGGGAAGGCCAGATTGATTACAGGACTCTGATTCTTGCAGTGACAAATTCTCTGGCTTTTGTGTTCGTCATTAGGTTCCCCAAACTTTGGTTGTTCCACATGTAAAATAATAGTGAATAGTGGTCACTGAGGAACCTTCTAGCTCTAAGATTCAGTGAGTGAAATAATTCATTTGACAAAAATGGACCAAGTGCCTGACCTTTGTCAGGATTTTCAATAACATAAATAGTAATAGAAATCAGACCTCGTTATTTTCAAATAATAAGCAGATGCCCATGACATGGAAAACTGTAATAAGGTGAAAAGATTGCTGTTCTCTAAGAAATTATAATCTCGTGAAAAAGGCATTTAAAAACATCTTTTTTGTGATTATTACTCTTCCTTACTTTAGTTTGACTAGAGGAAAGGAGGAAAGAATAGGAAAGAGAAAAAATTATCCTGGTTAGTTTTAGGGAAGAAGGGAGCCAAAATGTCACCTCCAAATTTAAATAAATGCAATTAATTTCAGAAAAATATAATTTAAAAAAATGTGATAATTACTCAGTTGAAGGCATCCTGATGCTCAAAGGGATAAATGTAAATAAAGGAAGCACAGAGATGGGAGACATTCATATGGACATTAACCCTCAGAGTGGTCCAATGCTTGGTATTGTCAGCATTATCTGGGAACCTGTGAAAAATGCACATTTCTAGGCTCCCCACCCCACCCCATCCAACCTCCTGAGTCAGAGAAGGACTCAGCAGGGCTTCAACAGGTCCTAGGCTAACACTGATACACACTGAAATGTGAGACCACTATTCTGGGGAGGCGCATGTGCTATTCATAAAAGCAGTTTTAATGTTTTCCTGTAATAATACCACACTGTCCCTATACTGACGTCAAAAACTGCAGTTGAGCATCTTTTTGAATGGAGACTTTCCTATCTGTGTGTATTAATAATGCTTCAGAAAGGGGTTGCAGAAATGTTGGGGAGGAGTAGACAAGGTGTGTGTGTGTGTGTGCGTGTGCGTGTGCGTGTGTGTGTGTTTATTGAAAGGGGGCTAAAGGAGCACAAAGCTTGCATAAAACATTTTATGGTCTTAAGAGCATTGGTTGATATTTTTACCAGGCCCTCATGTGCAGCCTAATTTTGCGATCACTGTTTATCATGATAATCTTTTCCTACAGTTGAAATCTTTATGGAAAATTGTTATGTCTGTTCAGTCATTCCATTTGAAGAAGATATGGAAAGACAGACCCGATATTACCTGTACCAAATCCATAGCCACTCAGTAATGAAAAATAATCAAAGATTGGGTCCTGTTTTTGGTTGTTTGATTCTATTATGGACATCTATTTATGGAAACTCAAATGTGCAAAAATAGAAGAGTATAATCATCCCACATACCTCTTACTCCCTTAAGCAATTGCTAGCTCATGGCCAATCTTGTGTTGTCCATGTTCTCATCTACCCCTGCATTCTCTACCCTGGTTACTTGTAATGAAATCCCATTTATCATTTTATTTTATCCAGAAACAAACAGTAAATATCTCTTAAGATTAAAATTCCTTTTAAAAACATAATAATTTTGAGATTTGATAATGTATTTTGATTATCTTTAAGCACCACTGGCTAACTGCTCTGTGCCTACTCATGTGACCCAAAGCCAGCATTTATGGAGTGCTTATGATGGAACCATTACTGTACCCAGTTGCTTATATGCCTTAATCCATATCATCCTCATAACCTGAAAAGAAGTCACTATCATTATCCCAATTTCATGATTAAGGAATGAGAACATAGGACATATTAAAATCTTACCAAGAATTACAAAATTAGAAGGTGAAAAAGACTAAGCCAAGAGTTATATACACATCTTACCAACTTTCA